ACCTATTAGGAAATTGTTACATACGATAGGGACTTAGAACTTTGGTGACGAAAGCTGAAGAAGGTCGTGAAAGGTTGCTGTCAACAATAAAAGAGGAGAATGCAGGGCATGACTGTATGTACAGTCATGCCCTGGAAGAAGGTGAGGAAGGTCTTTGTTGACAAGGAGAATGGCAGGCTCGACAGTACAAACCGTCGAACCTCCTAGAAGGTAGTAAAGAACTTAGTAATAGTAATGAAGATGAGGGACTTAGAACTTTGGCGACGAAGCGCCCAACAATCACAAACAACCATATTCGGAAATTGTTACATAACATTGACTGCTCAAGCCTTTCAACCCCGTTTATCACAACTACGAGCATGACAGTATGTACTCGTGCTCGTCGAGTTCATCATTCCATCTTCAGAGCACAACGGTATGTACTGTCGTGTCTCCTGTGTTTCAATAAATCCCATTACACCCACCCGCCAACTCCATCCTTTTTCGCTGATCAAGCCATCAACTCCTCTGGGTCATCCCCTCTACCGTACATACAGTAGAGTGGGCGATGGCTAATCCGCCTTTGCTTACTGCGATCCTTTAGATCATGTTGGTCCATTCCTCCATACATCCTCTGAGTCAGGTAAGCTCCAATTGTTGACAGATCCAACCATTAATCAACCAATAAGTCCAGCCATCAACACCCATCATCTGCTCCACCGTACATACAGTGGAGTGGGCAATGGCTAATTCGCTTTCGCTTATTGTGACCCCTTGGATCACGTTGGACCGTCCCGTCCGTCTTCTACGTCAGGTAACCAAGTCGTTTGTTAAAAATCCAACCCCATTGACCAACCGTTAAACAATCCAGCCATTAACCCCTCCACCATACATACAGTGGAGGGGGAATTGACTTATTGTATGTCCATCTACCCAATGCGGTGAGGGCATAATGCAAAACCTATGTCTATGTTCAACTAGCGTGCTACATGTACTGGATGAGAGATATGTAGGTCCTTTGTCTCTTCACCTCCTTTCGCTGCTCGCGGGTAATCAGTATTGCGTTGCCCTTATGTTCATCTTTGTCAATCTCTCCGTCCGCTTCAAGCTAGCTCCATGAGCTTTGCTGCTAATTCCCGGAGCATCAAATGTCGTTTTTGACGTATCCTTCGGTCGGCCCTTCCTTATCATCCTTCTCGATATCTACACACTCGTCAAATATAATGGCAGCTTGGACACACTGTGAAAAGTCATCGGTTGCATTAATCATTGTTGCCGAAGTCATGTACCCATGTACGCGGTTCAGTGCGCTATCCTGAAGGTGCATTAGTTAGATCCCTGCTGACCAACTGGCCCACTTACCAAAAAGCTGTCTCTATAATTTATCAGCAGGAAGACACTCATAGATAGCAGTGCCAGTAGCATGTCAACATCACCAGTATGTGCGACAGGGACCAGTAATCCCCTGAGGGCGCCTTGGATACCTTGGCACTGCGTAGTATACGCCCATATCTTGATTGTAGTTTTCCCGTGCCCTGGCATGGGCGAAGTGCTGGCAATTGTGCAGTGGCCATTGAGATCGCGTGTCTAAACCAGTTTAGTGACATTCTTTCCGACTAGTCTTAATACTTATGGATATTGTTTGCACAAGGCCAGTGTCCGCGTGGTGGAGGGTTTCAAGTATCTGCCCTGTCTTCCGATCAAATATGTATACTAGCCCATGGTCACTTCCTCCCACAACTACCTTGCCTTCTTCCCCGAATGCCACTTGCTTCAGGACCACACGCTTGGCAAACCAGTTGCAAATGTTCAAACAGGCTCACCATCACCTTCAAGGCGATATAATGTAAAGCCGTCTGTTGCATTATCTACAATGAAAACGCCCCGCTTTGAGTACACCGCAGCATGACCACTATATAATGTCAGTAACGCGCCCAGGTCAAGAGTGGTAGTTCCTCACATCACTGATTTGCAGCTAATTTCTTGCACTATGTCGCCATCTTCATCCTTCAGTTTCATGCTGTTCGGCTCTCAGCATCAGGCAATAGGCAATGAAAGTATGCAGTGGAAGGACTGACAAGTTGCCATCATAGAGCCCAAAAACACATAGATGCTCCTGGTTATCTGCAAATGCTACTGACTTGGGCACCGTTATTTCAAGTTGCCACTGCGAAGACGGGCTGGAGCTGCGAGCTTGTGTTGAGCGTCAGAACCTGAACCATTTTGTCTCTAGTTCTGACTACAATTCGCAGGTTGCCTTCAGAGGAAGTTGAACACCATGACAAGCATGTGATCTCAAAACCTGATCCCAGTCTCCTGTGCATATTTCCTGGAATTTTTCCTGTTGGTGTCAACGGACGGTTGAACAGCAAACCTAGGCCCTTACATCTGTGAGGACTGTGTCACAAACATATGATATAACCCAGGCCTGTTCCATAACAGAGGGTTTCTGCTGTGGTTTTCATAGTCGTGGCCCAGATTGCGCAACTGACTGTTTCCCCTTGATTCATGATGATTAGCCAAAGATGTGAGTTCTTTCCGAGATTTGATATCCCAGAGTTTGATTCCCTCGGTACCTGTTTTTTTGTTAGCCCTGTCTATGATTGAGTTTCTGCTTTCTTACCACCGTATGCAAGCAGGTGTCCATCATTAGAAATCGCAAGTGCATGGATAGAGCCATTATAGCAGTTAAACGAGTGAGCAGCTTGTAATGCAGTGGCTGCACTGACTTGTTGAACAACGCAAGGAAAGACATTATGATATGATCCGCTGTAGTCGCCCGCTCACAACATATTTATCTGTACTTCTCATTTGTTTTCAAATACTTTTGTATTGTTACCATATTTGTTTGATTCCATGGTAACTTTATAGTCATTGTCGACGCCATTTGTGTAGTGCTATTCTGCTATTCTGCTATTCTTCTTATTCTTCTCTTGAGATACGTTGATGGCTACCCCTATTATTCTTATTCTTATTCTTATTCTTTGTAAGTGCTATTCTTGGTTACCATTTTCGAAGCCCCTTATTGTTTTCGCTCAATATGGTAGTCTGTTGAATGCTTTACCCTCTCATGAACTGTCCTTAAGTTCCAGGTAGCTACTCGGTTTCTTTCTCTATCATGCGCAGTACTACAATTGTTCCACCTTTCTATGACTCAGAGCCTGGTGCTCCGCCACCTCTTCCCCCAATGCTCACAGACCAGCTGGAGCTGTTTGGCAATGCCAATCGTCGCCTGACTACACTTATTGCCGAGAAATCCTAGTTCCTAAGCTAGTATCATTCCCACTGCAAGGGCTTCATTGTCTACACCTGCCCCTGAATTCAAGCTTGCGAAGCAGATGCGCAAGCATTCTGATCGCTCTTCCTCTCCATACACCAAGAAAGTCACTTCCACGCACTCCCATTCTCAAATGCCTTCACCCTCAGATTCCTCAGGCTCTTTGGATTCTTTCTCAGATAGCAACTCCTCAACTTCGAGTGTGAGTTTATCAGAAGACTCAAAGATTCCTAAACCTGCCGGTGAACCTGGGTGTCCGGGGCGTGGGGGGGTACACACTTCGCGAAGCTTTAGATTGGAATCCAAAGGCATATGCAAAATTCAAGGTTCGCAAATTGTCATTGTACCCTTAGTATTGCAAATTAACTCACGAATTCCTAAGAGGTCTATGCATAGTCTCATTGAGGACCACCTTGACACAACAAAATGCGCTTCTGCCCAAAGTCCCATGCTATTGGACGTCGTGCGTGGCAAGGTGAACAGTTTCACAGAGTCTCGATATTGTCAATGAACTTATCATCTCAGGCACTCGACAACTTCCCAGACCTTGATAATTATAACAACTTGTGGCCAGTCAACGATTTGATCATGACACTGCCTGAAATACACGTCTGGTCGCATGAGACAAAAGGTGGGAGAAATGGCTGTAGGCAAGAGCAAGAGCAAGGTCAGGAAGTGATACCCCCACTGCATTAGATGTCTCCGTCATTATTACATGCTGTATGCATTCTATGTTAAGCTGGCATTCCAAAATCAAGCATATTCATTTACGGTATCAGACAGGATGGAATACCAACTAGTAACCATGAGTTTTACGCGCATCAGGGAGAGCAAAACTACATCATGCAAGTCGTCTGCGAAGCTACCTAGAACCCGTCAGTATCAGTTCAAGCCGGCGCTTTCGAATGTTTGGTCAAGATCATCATGGCACTGTACTACGACAATATGGCATTCTATATGGAATGGATATTGTATCTGCAGTCCAGCTGAGAAATTTGGTATGTAATAATGCTTTCATAGTCTAGGAAATTATATTACTCCACACCTTGCAGCTGACCGACAATTGGTATGAGTGCTCAAGGGTTTCACAAGAATAAGATCGCGTGGGAGCCTAGCTCTTGGACGACTACTTATGCTTTGCGCAAAGCTGAAAAGATAGTTATGGTAGGCTCAATAGATCATCGAGTTTACTCACTGGTGAATTATAAAGTCAGCAAGTGCATTATCTCTGGCTCGCATGTTCACAACTGAGGGATGGTTGACTCCAACCCTCATAACAACTGCATCGCCTCGGAACTTATGATCACCCCTGCTAAGAAGCACGTTGGCTCTGAGACGAAGATGTCGCTTGAAGAAGATGCAGAATCAATAGATGTGTCTCCCTTCGCACACATTCACGAAACAGTTGTGAACATAAGGCTGCACGGTAGCCTCCTCAAGAAGACTTTCAGGAACAGGAAAATGCTGAGCAGTGCATGAGTGGCCAGAGCAACACATCAACATAGTGACCTGACAGGGTCTGGTCCATGATGCTGAATATAGCCTGCACTGCAGGTGAAGCTCCGGGGTCTGATTTGAAGGTAAATAAAGGGTGTGAGGTAGTAAGCGATAACTTACAGCAGATGTTGGAAGGATATATGTGCGAGTGTTTACCATCTGATTGTAATTCAATCAAGGCAATAATCTAAGAAGTGGGCGATGAATGCGGGCGATGGAAGCAGGCTATAGCAGCGATCCGTCTTTTAATAACTTCACGTGCTGAGTCAAAGACAATAACCATAATTGTTTGGGGGATGTAGTTGACGAAAAAAATAGTGGAGAGCCAAACCGAAGCATGACAATACTGCAATGATAATCCTGCAGCGCTAGTTGTCAAGGGTAATTGTATGAAGTAATATGTTCCTGTTAATACATTGGTCACCAAGGGTAATTGTACGAGATAATTGTAAGAGCAAATAGAGCAAAAGATAATTGAAAGTGATGAAGATGAACCTGGACCTGTTGGAACTTCTGTTGTTCATTCATACAACAAGACATCTAAAAGAATCAAGACAAAAATGCATGCACATAACTTAAAAAGACCCAGGAATGATGTTTACAAACTGACGATGGATTATTGCCCCGTTATGAGTGTCAATAACATTGACATCAACATGCAACATCCCGAGTTTCAGCCAGAAGATGTACAAACATCTCATGACGCGGATTTATTTGGTGACGATGAAGACGACGATAAGGGTGCTGGTGACTTTGTGGATGCTCTCAGTCAGCCTCCCACCAGTGTGCCACAACTTGACAGGAGGGCCAGAGATGAAGTGGTGTGTAGATAGTACGAGTCAGCTTCCATGACTCATAATGCCCATCCAGATATCTGGGAAGCGTCACTTTTGTGAAGTCGACTATTCACAGATACTTTGCCAGACTGTGTATGAACAACAAGAACATATTAACAATATTATACAGGAAACTGAAGTGGTACGCATGAGAAACTCATTGAAAATACACTGCTGATCATACAGGCAGATACACCAAAAAGCTCAAGACTATATTGAGGAGCAATGACGTATTGCAGAAGAAGAGTGTGAGCACCACATGCGCGATTTCAACGAGCAATGGGAAGCAGCTCTGAGAGAGCGAGAGCGGGAAAAGCAAGTAAGTGCAACAGATGCATTCAGTCAGATGCATGCTTACAAGTTAATAGGAAATTCACACATGGCAAGAGCAGCAGCAAGCACTGCTGAGGAAGAACGTTGCTGAAGAACTAGCATGGCACGAAGCAAAAATAAGTGCAAGAAAAGACCAAGAGGTGAGAAAGAACGACTGACCAAGGAATTACTAATGATGGCAAGTAGTTGACTGAAGAACTGGCATGACACAACGCAGATTTAAATACAAGAAAAAATAAAGAGGTGGGGAAGAACGACCGAACACGGGAATCGCTAATGATGTCAAGCAGTTAGAAGAACGCGAGAGAGCCATTTTTTGCCGAAATGGAGTGAAGGCTACAACTAGAAATAGAAAAAATGAAGGTAGAAAAAGAGAACAAGCTCGCTAACATGGAGCAGCGCTTTGCAAGACACGGTAGGCAACAGCATGTGGCCACAGAAATCAGCACAGACCCCACCCGAAGGAACGCTCAACAGCCACCCCAAATGCCCCAGAAACCACAGTTCAAGACTCCGTGCCTCGAGATGATCAAAAAGATCAGGAAGGCACATGGAACAACATGCAAGATGTGCCTGGTATCTGTAGTAGAGGTAAGTACTAAGCGGTCGGAACTCGTTTTAAACTCACATCATAGCAGGACGCTGATGACCCTATGGAAACGCATTGAGAACAATCAGCAACAATTGAGCAAGAGCCACAGCAATTTCAGCCTGACAACGTCTACCCTATGTCTGTGATGGAAAATGCGATCTCCAAAGGCATAGAGGCGGCACTCAGACGCATCCTCGTCGATAAGGATATCCTGACGTCCACGAAGCGTAGTCCTTGAATGTCACAAATTCCTAACACGAATCATTTTTCATTTGTTGGCTTTCCTTCGGCTATGTCTTATAACCGAACCGGTCACGTGACACCTCTACCTTTCACACTATCACATCATCACCATGTCACAACTTCACCCTTTCACATTTCACCAATCACATCTCCGATCGGATCCCCTACGCCCAGGGCTAGAACTATATGCCTTCCTATCACTTAATCTCCGTCTCTGACATCATTGCTTATATATCACAACGTCATCCTACGTCATGCGCAGTATCGTACGACTCTTTTCTCATTGGCTGATTATTTACAGACTCAGATATCTCCGACTCAATGTTATGTATATAGGTAGGGTAGTTAGCGTAGTTTCTCTTTAGACTTAACCTCTTCGTTCCTACCTTGTGTAGACAGAGACGTTCACTCTCAATCTCATCCTTGCTCTTAACTTGACGAGTCCTAGTGGTTGTGTGAAACCTTTACCAATCGGTGAATGTTGATCATAACATTAGGTTAAGTCTTCTTACCACTCCGACTCGAATTTTGTCCTGGACACCTTGTCCTCGATAAACTTCACCTGTGCTATTCTGCTGAGAATTTCTCGCGGATTACATTTCCAACCATCTTTCCCAGACGCGCATTATATCATCTTCTTTTACGTTAGGCTTTTGTAGAAGTAGACCAGGCCCTTGCCCTACGCGAGCCGCCAGTCTATAAGGAACAGTGACACTTAGGTCCTGTCTCCGCACGCCTGCAGTTAGGTCCAAGACCCTACCGACTGCACGCTACCTACTTTTCTTTCGTACTATAAAGAACGGCACTCGCAGGTCTTACAACCCTAGTTACATTACCTTAGGAAGTTGTGGGTATTCAGAAGACCCAAACTTCAAACGCGTCGCTCCCGAACTCCTTTCGAGTTCTACTTAGGTTGACGAACCGCTACACGCGCTGCATTCACACCTATAGTCATCATAGCTCCCCCTTGGAGATCTCGTCTCGTCAGAGACCGCGCCCTACAAATCCACGACAACGATACCTGTCGTGAAAACAACTGCCCTTTCCTTCATGTCCGAGCAAGATTGGCGAACAATCCAATCCCCCGCCCCACACCACGCACCAATTCAAGGATGGCAGACACTAGGAGCAGGGCCGTCGGGATCTGCAGAAAGCTCCACACCGACCCTGTCGAGGCCGGGCTCTGTGGTAGTGGAAGGCATCTTAGGCCCTCAAGGGACTACCATCACCCACGAGAACATTTCGAACGCCATATTCACCGTAACCGCAGCAGAAAGAGATCTAAACCAACACCGGTACAACGAGTTGAAAGATCATCTCGCACTCTTAGCCGAGAACCTAAACAGGGTGGAGACAGAGAAGAACGAGTTAGCCCAGAGGCTAGTGGCAGCAGAACAAACGATCATGGCTTTGCAAGCCTTTCGTACGACAACGCCAACAATACAGGCGTCTACCTCTGGAGTTTCAAGCTCTGATCTCAAGATGGCCAAACCTACAGAGTTCACAGGAGATAAGAACTCTATCGACGTTGACACCTTCCTCTCCCAACTCGACCTCTACCTTACCTCATATCCCACCGCCTCTGAGCTCCAGAAGAGTTCCTGTCTTATTTCTTTCTGCAAGGGCTCTGCAGCGAAATGGGGAGAAAGCGTCTCCAGAACGGCCTTAAGTGGACGACTCGGATCTTATGATCAGTTGAAGAACGATATGCAAGCCATGTGGGGCATCGTTAACAAGGAAGAGAAGATTGCTCGCGAGATAGATCATCTCCAGCAAGGAAACCGCAGCATCGCGGAATTCGTCTCTCTCTTCAGACAAAAAATTGCCCACTGCCGTTTTTCCGACTACGAACTCATGCGCAAGTTCCGACTCGCATTATCCCAACGGATCAGGGATCAGTTGGCCCACGTAAACCCCAGGGACAAGAGCACCCTAGAAGGAATGATTTCACAGGCTCTTATTATCGGAGCAAACTTTGAGGAACTGGACGATGAGAAAAAGAAGACCTGGCAACCACCACGTCGCCCATGGGTTGAAAGAGGCCCTCTCAAACCAGTTTCTCAAGGAGGAGATGCAATGGACGTAGATGCATCCAAAACATGAGGTGGACCCCAACCTCAAGGCAAATCGGGAGACACTTTCAAGTGTTATCGTTGTGGAAAACCCGGGCATATGGCTCGTAATTGTACTGGGCA